TGTGGAACCCGGCATGGGGCTCAATCCCGCAAACCTGAGATCAGACCTGAGCTGAAACCAAGAGCTGGGTGCCCTGCTAACCGAGCCACCCAAGTGCCCCAACAGATTTTCACTGTGGAAGAAACAGCTTTTTATTGGAAGAAGATGCCATCTAGGACTTTCATAACTAAAGAGGCAATGTCCGTGTCTGGCTTCAAAGGTCCAAAGGACAGACCCATTCACTTGTTAGGGGCTAATGTAGCTGGTGACTTCGGGGTGAAGCCAATGCTTATTTACTATTATGAAAATTCTAGGACCCTTCAGAATTCTGCTGGCTCCACTTTATAAGTGGAACAAAGCCTGGATGATAACACATCTGTTTAAAACAGTTTAATACTGTGAATATTTTAAGCCCATTGTTGAGATCTACTGCTCAGGAAAAAAGATTCCTTTCAAAATAGTGCTGCTCATTGCCAAGGCACCTGGTCATCTAGGAGCTCTGATAGAGGCGGACAAGGTTAATGTGTTCATGATTGCTGACACAACATCTACTTTGCAGCCCTGGGATCGAAGAGTCACTTTAACTTTCAAGTATTAGTATTTAAGCTTAGTATTTAAGACCCCATGGGGTGGGGGGGGGTGCGCATCTGGGTGGCTCAGTTGTTAGGCCTCTGCCTTTGCCTCAGGTCATGATCCCAGAGTCCTGGAATCGAGTCCCGCATTGAGCTCCAGGCTCAGTGGGGAGTCTGCTTCTCCCTGTCCCCCTGTCTCTCCCCCTGCTTATGCTCTTTCTCTCTTTCTGTCTCAAATGAATAAATAAAATCTTTTAAAAAATACATTTCACGGGGAGTCTGGGTGGCTCAGTTATTAGGCGTCTACCTTTGGCTCAGGTCACGATCCTAGGGTCCTGGCATCGAGCCCCACATCAGGCTCTCTGCTCAGCAGAGTCTGCTTCTCCCTCTCCTTCTGCCCTTCCCCCCAACACACTCTCTCTCTGTCTCTCTATCTCTCTCTTGTGTTCTGTCAACTAAATAAATAAAATCTTTTTTTTTTAATATTTTATTTATTTATTTGACAGACAGAGATCACAAGTAGGCGGAGAGGCAGGCAGAGAGAGAGGAGGAAGCAGACTTCCCACTGAGCAGAGAGCCCGATGCAGGGCTCGATCCCAGGACCCTGAGACTATGACCTGAGCTGAAGGCAAAGGCTTTAACCCACTGAGCCACCCAGGAGCCCCTAAATAAATAAAATCTTTTAACAAATCAACGTTAATAGGAGTTTGGAAGAATTTGATTCCAACCTTCATGGATGACTTTGAAAGTGTAAAGATTTCAATGGAGGAAATAACTGCACATGAGGTGGAAATAGCAAGAGAACTAGAATCAGAAGTGGAGCCTGGAGATGGGACTTGCTGCCGTCTCATGACGAAACTTGAACCAATGAGGAGTTGCTTCTTATGGGCGAACACAGAAAGTGGTTTGTTTGTTTCTTTCTTCCTTCCTTTTTAAAAGATTTTTTTTTTATTTATTTGACAGAGAGAGATCACAAGTAGGCAGAGAGGCAGGCAGAGAGAGGGGGGGAAGCAGGCTCCCTGCAGAGTGGAGAGACTGATGCTCTCCCAGGACCCTGGGATCCCAGGACCCTGGGATCATGACCTGAGCTGAAGGTAGAGGCTTAACTGACTGAGCCACACAGGTGCCCCAGAAAGTGGTTTCTTGAGATAGAAACTGCTCCTAGTGAAGATGCTATGAAGATGTGGAAATGACAACAAAGGATTTAGAATATTCCATAAACCCAGTTGAGAAAGCTGCAACAGGATGTGAGAGGACTGACTCCAATTTTGGAAGAAGTCCTGCAGTGGGTAAAATGCTATCACAGCATCATGTGCTGCAGAGAAATCATTCGCAAAAGTAAGAGTCACTTGATGTGGCAAACTTGACCATTGTCTTCTTTTAAGAAACTGCCTCAAGGGCGCCTGTGTGGCTCAGTGGGTTAAGTGTCTGATCCCTGGTCCTGGGACTGAGCCCTGAGTAGGGCTCTGTGCTCAGCGGGGAGTCTGCTTCTCCTTCTTCCTCTTCCTCTGCTGCTGCCCGTGCTCGTGCTTACTCTCTCTCTCAAATAAATAAATAAAATCGTTAAAAAAAAGTAGTTTTTAATGAAGATATGCACATTGGTTTTTTTAGGCAAATGCTTTTGCACACTCACAAAACTACAGTGTAGTGCAAACATAACTTTTAGACGCACCGGAAAGCCAAAAATTCATCGGACCCACTTTACCGCAATGCGTGTTTTGTTACAGTGACCCTGAACTAAACCTGCAATATCTCTAAGGTACGCCTGTGTTGGTCTCTCCAACCTCTTACCCTTTTCCTCTGGGTCTCCCTAACTCTCTTCATCTTTTTCTCTCTCTTTCCCTCCCTGCCTCCGACAGATTTCTGGATTCCCAGAAGTAAAGGCGGTGTAAGCCGGCAGATAGGGAACATGATGCTAGGAGGCAGACCTCTGGCTTCCGGCTGTTCTTGCGCTGGCTTCCGGCTGTTCTTGCGCTGGCTTCCGGCTGTTCTTCCGGGGAGAGGGTGGGGGAGGGGCGCATCCTCTTTCCTACATTCAGTTTGTCCTTGGCTGTCCAGAAATGGTCCCTTTCAGCCCTCCCTCCTTTCTGTGGCCCCCATAGGCCGGAATTGGTGTTTTTAGGCCAGGGATAAGGCTGGCATCAGGGGAGTGGTCAGAGGACAGGTCAAGGAGGGAGACCAGACCTCTACCTGTGTGAGGGGACCTTGCCATGCCACCCCCAAGGCCATCCAGGGGAGCATGGCCTGTGCCCTGAGTCACAGACCCAGAAGGAATATCAGTGGCCACCAAACCTTTATCTCTCTTTTTCTGCCCCTTGTGAATCCAAGTGGAGAGCCCCCGCCCAGGCTGGCCTCTTCCCTCCCTTCTCTTGCCCCCATCTCTCTCTTGGTAGTAAATTCTGAAAATATGGGGGAAGGGACTGGAAACTCAGCCAAAAGGGGCTTGGAAGACCTGCCGTGGTGGCTTTGGGGACCAAACATCTTCAGTAGCACTGAAGGTAACTCCATGTAAGTTATAGTGAAACAGGTGCCGTTAAACTCTGTGTAGTTAACTCAGGGCTATTTATTCTATTTGAAGCTGATTGACAGAAAATATGGACCTGGTTCTTTTCTATGTTTTAAACATGTTGTTATTCTTGGGATAGACAAATAGATATCAACACAAAAATCAACGTACAGAATTACCATTAGAGTTAGAATCGTTCCAGGAGAGAGAGTGGTTTTATTCAAAGAGGGCAGCACTCTGACCAAATAATACAGCTGTATTATATATTATTCAACAGAGACGCAGTGGTGATGGTTAAGCAAATAGGCTCTGCCCCGGGTTCAAATCCCAGCTCTCTTCTACCTCCAATGTGGAATCTTAGGCAAATGAATCATTAATTGCTTTGTGCCTCAGTTTACCTTTCTTTGAAATGAAGCTGATTTGGGATGAAAAGGCGTTACTAGGGGTGCCTGAGTGGCTCAGTGGGTTAAGCCTCTGCCTTCAGCTCAGGTCATGGTCTCGGGGTCCAGGGATGGAGCCCCGCATCGGGCTCTCTGCTCAGCAGGGAGCCTGCTTCCCGCTGTCCCTCTGCCTGCCTCTCTGCCTACTTGTGATCTCTCTCTCTGTCAAATAAATAAATAAAATTAAAAAGAAAAAGGCATTAATACCAGTGAGATATTAGAACGGTGCTGTAAGGACCTATTTAGAAACTGTCCCTGCTTCCCTTCCCCCAGGAGATTTACTTGGAGACAAGTCCCGGAAACCAGCTTCAGGTAACAAAGCCCAGATACAAAGGTGGGTCAGGTGAGGTGGAGACATCCGATCAGTGGGGGGATGCATACTGTCTCCCTGGTTAGCAAGGAGTATGGGCCCCGCCCTTTGGGCGCCAATCCCAATCAAGGTGTAAGAGGCTGGTTCAAATGTCTACTAGGGTAAATTGTAACTCAATGGGTCACCTAGAATCACTGTGGAGTTTCCTGTGTGTGTTACAATCTCATTGGCCACCTGTGCGTGGCCAGGCCCGACCGCATGGCCTTTGCCCTTAAAAGCTAGTCTGTGAAACAGAGAAGGGTTGCCCTCTCTTGTAAGAGGTGCGGCCCCGAAGGTTCTGTTAGATTCTTGATGCTTGGTGCGAAATGAAGCTTTGCTTGACCTGTGCTTTGTATCAGTCTCGCTCCTTTAATCACGGACCCATTATTGGGGCATAACAGGTGCCTGCCCGGTGAATGGTATTAGGTATTAGATATTAGATATTAGATATTAGGTATTAGATATTAGAACGGTGCTTGCTCAGTGAACGGTAGTACTGTTTTTTATGACATACCCACATCTTATTTTCATTCATCATGTTGCCATTTGCAAAGTATTATGATTCATGTATGTGGTCCTTATAATCTTCTCCTTAATGTTCTCTTCTCTAGACAGATGAAAGAACTAAGGTTCAGAGAGGACCTCTGTAAGAGTCCGAAAAGGGTGGCAGGAAGACAGCAGAGGGAGAGGAGTTTGCACATCAAACGCAGGAGGGTTCCAATTCCAACCAGGCCACACTGGTCCTACAGGAGGTACCTTCGGTGGAAAACTTCGAATGCTCAAAATGGGGAGTGATCACGTTGGCTGGGAAACCCATTCTTTCCTTAGTCAACAAACAAAGTTAGTGTTCCTGCACTTGAAATACGTCAATGAAAGATAGCCCTGCCCACCCCACCTCCAGGGTTTCAGTAGGGGAGACAAAGGATAAACAGGAAATCACAATAGGGATTGACAATTGTGTGCGAAGGAAAGTGCCTGGCACCTTACAGAGGCCAGGGCACCCAGCCAGCATGGAGCAGGGTGTGTGGGGAACTTCTCAGAGGCGGCCTCCTTCACATTCCACAGAACTTCAAGTTGAGGCCTGGAGGAGTGGCAGGTTTGGGGTAGGGTGTGGATTGGAGGTGGGGGTGGAGCTTCAGAGAGGGGTCAAGAGGAAAAGGAGGGGGGAACATTTGATAAAAACTGGGCAGAGGATGGCAGAGTGTGACACACAGTCGTGGGAGGCCTGCAGGAGATAGCGGGAACAAAGTCCAGGTGAGGAAGAGCTTGAGCAGAGAGAGAGGCCAAAGAATGAGGTGACTTTAGGAAACGTTTGGTGTTTGCAGGGTGTGGGCTGGAAACAGTGCTTGGGCGAGTCTTGGCCCTCCTGACTGGAAAGTGGGATCTTTCTGGGGGATAGGCTGATGAGCCCAAGTTTCCAATAAGGTGAAGGTGCTTCTGAAGACCCATGAGATGTAGAGTCTGACTTCTCTGGTAGGTGTGCTGGCAGCAGCCAAGCTTAGGCAGGGCAGGGCAATGTGGGGGAGGGAGATCCAGGAGAGAGAGGTTTGCTGCAGTGGGCATGGGCAGGAGGGGCAGCCCCTACCCTATGGAGATGCAATAAGCAGAAGAAACCCGAGAGGTGTGAAAGTGCAGGGATAATCAGTTCCCAGAGGGACTGGGTAGATTCTAGAAGTTTCTATCATGAATAAATACACACACAGAGGCCTTGAGAAGCAGGAAGTGGTTATCCTGGGAGGTAGACTCACAGGTGAATGTTGGTTTTCTTCTGTATGCTTTTCTCTATTTTCCGTGTTCTAGTGAGACTGTATAACCTGGGAAGCCAGACAAAGGACACGGTAAAAGTTATTAACACCCAAGAGGAGTCCTCAGTATAGAGCCAGACATCACCAAGAGGTCAGATGTCACCAGAAAGAATGAGGAACTAGACGGGCTTTGGGATGTGGCTCTGAGAGGGAGCAGGTGGCCTGAGGAAAGCAGTACCGCTGGAGGGAAGGGGGAGGTGGGGTCCACGTGGCAGGCATGAAGAAATCCCAGGGAAAGACAAATGACAGGCAAAGGGGAATATTTGYAGCCCCTACAGCGGGCAAAGGCAAATCTCCCTAAAATAGATATAGCTCCTAAAAAATTTTTTTAAAAGATTTTATTTATTTATTTGACAGACAGAGATCACAAGTAGGCAGAGAGGCAGGCAGAGAGAGAGAGGGGAAGCAGGCTCCCTGCTGAGCAGAGAGCCGATGTGGGGTTCGATCCCAGGACTCTGGGATCATGACCTGAGCTGAAGGCAGTTGCTTAACAGCTGAGCCACCCAGGCACCCTCAAAATTAACTATTTTAGAATAATTTTAGATTTACAGAAAAATTATGGAGATAGTACAGAGAATTTCTGTATCCCCTACATCCAGCTTCCCCTATAAGTAACATCTTACCTGAGTAAGATGTTTCTTACATCTTTACTTACAAATGTTTGTTATAATTAAGGGCCAATATTGATACATTAGTATTGACTAAAACCCATACTTTGTTCAGATTTCCTTAGTTTTTACCAAATGTTCCTTTTCTGTGCCAGGATCCCATCCAGGTTACCACATTACGCTTAGCTATCTTTTTTCCTCAGACTCCCCTTGGCTGTGACAGTTTCTCAGACTTTCCTTGTTTTTGATGACCTTGATTGTTCTGAGGAATACTGGGCGGGTGTTTTGTAAAATGTCCCTCTAGTGGGATTTGCCTGATGTTTTTCTTATAACTAGACTGGAGTTGTTGGGTTTTGGGGAAAGAAAGCACACAGTTAAAATGCCATTCTCATCACATCACATCAAGGCTACATGCTATCAACATGACTTATTACCGTTGATGTGGACCTTGACCAGCTGTCTGAAGCAGTGTTTGTCATGTTTCTTTTCTCTCACTTTTCATACTGTCCTTTTTAAGTAAATATTGTATTTATTTATTTGAGAGCAAGACACAGAGCATGGCTGTGGGGGAGGGGCAGAGGGAGAGGGTCTAGAGAGGGGATCCCAAGCAGATTTCACACCCACCGTGGAGCCTGGTGTGGGGCTCGATCTTATGACCCTGAGATCATGACCTGAGCCAAAATCAAGAGTCAGATGCTTAACTGACTGAGCCACTCAGGCGTCCCTAAAAATTCTATTTTTAAGTAATTTCTACATCCAACGTGGGGCTCAAACTCACAACCCCAAGACTGAGCACGTATGCTCTACGGACTGAGCCAGCCAGGTATCCCCATACTGTCCTCTTTGGAAGGAAGTCACCAGGTGCGACCCACTTGAGGTGTGGGGAATTATTTTACACCTTTGACATACTTTCATCACTGTGGGTTTTTTGCTCTTGCTTTGAGCATTTCCTTACTTTCTGGCAAAAGATGCTCAGGGCTCATCTTACAGCTCTCCTGCAGCAGCCCTAGAATCAGACATTTCTCCAACAAGCCCCAGTTCTGTTTATTGGAGCTTGGCATTACAGACCACGTGTTGGGTACTTGGTGTGTTCAGTGCTGCTGGAGAGTCATTGCTTTGGGTCCTCTCAGTTTCCAGAGTGAGAAAATGCATTTATGTATACTGACCCTCATATGTACATATATCTATAAATACATTATATATAATCATCTGTATCTATATTAAGCTGAACATGAATTCATATTGCCAACTCCAAGTCTAGTTTATGGCCATATAGGAATATTTAGCTTCTTCCCCTGGGTTATCTGTAATATCCCAAAGATATAGATTTTTTAAGTGAAAAAAAGTGCAGACTGATGAGTATAATTAGCTACCTTTGTGCAGAGGGCGGAGAAATAAGAATGTATCTTTGTATTTGCATAGAGAAACTCCAAAAGGTTGTATAGAAATCTACTGAGAGAATAGAAAATGTACATTCACACGGGAGCTTGCACCCAAGTGTTCATAGCTGCATTGTTCATAATAGTGGGTTTGATGGTTTCACAACAATGTGAATGTATGTAATGTCACTGGACTGGACTTAAAAATGGTTAAGATTGGTGGGGGGGGTTGTCCTTGGCTGGTGCAGTCCTTTAAACATCCAGCTGAGGTCATGACCTTAGGATCGTGGGATTAAACCCCTCATCAGGTTCCACACCAAGCAAGGAGCCTGCTTGGGATTCTCTCCCTTTCCCTCTGCCCCCTACCTGCCTCTCAAATAATAAACAAATAAAATCTTTAAAAAGATAGCTAAGATGGGAAATTTTACATTCTATTAAAACCATCATTTAAAAATGTACAAAAAAGCTATCGTGTTCATTTTGCTTTACTATTTTCCCCTCAGAATGTTTTCAGGATCTTCTAGCTGTTTCTGTGTGGCCTCCCATCCACTGCTTCTTTTTTTTTTTTTTTTTTTTAAATTTTCCATCCACTGCTTCTAACTGCTGCATATAATCCATGGTTTTTGTAGCACATTTTATTTTATTTCTTTTTAATTTTTAAAAAAATGTTAAAAGATTTTATTTATTTATTTAATAGAGAGAGAGAGAGAGAGAGAGAGCACGAGCAGGGGAGGGGTAGAGAGAGAAGCAGACTCTGACGAACAGGGAGCCTGAGGCAGGGCTTATGTCCACGGATCCTGAGATCAAGACCTGAGCAGAAGGCAGACGCTTAACCAACTGAGCCACCCAGTGCTCCACACATTTTATTTTTTTAATTGAGAAATCCTTGACATACAACATTATATTAGTTTTAGGTGTGCAACATAGTGATTTCATGTTTGTGTGTGTGTGTGTGTGTGTGTGTGTATATATATATATATATATATATATATATATGACGAAATGATCATCACAGTAAATCTACTTAATATCCATCACCATACATAGTCACACAGTTTCCTTCTTGTGCTGAGAACTTTTAGGAACTGTTCTCCTTGCAGGGTGCCTGGCTGGCTCAGGCTGTGGAGCATGTGACTCTTGATCTTGGGGTTGTGAGCTCGAGCCCCACGTTGGGTGTAGAGATTACTTAAAAACAAAATCTTTTAGGGGCGCCTGGGTGGCTCAGTTGGTTGGGCAACTGCCTTCAGCTCAGGTCATGATCCTGGAGTCCTGGGATCGAGTCCCGCGTTGGGCTCCCTGCTCGGCGGGGAGTCTGCTTCTCCCGCTGACCTCTCTCCTCTCATGCTCTCTCTCTCTCTCAAATAAGTAAATTTAAAAAACTTAAAAAAAAATAAAATCTTTTAAAAAAAGAGCTATTCTCCTAGCAACTTTCAAACCTATGATACAGTATTATTAACTATGGTCACGATGTCGTGCATAACATCCCCATGACGTATTCATTTTATAACTGGGCATTTGTACCTTTTTGACCCCTGTCACCAATTCTGCCCAACCCCCATCCCCACCTCTTATAACCACCAATTGGTTCTTTATATCTTTGAGGTGGTTTTTTTTTTTTTTTGCCTTTTTGTTTTGTTTTTAGATTCTGCATATGAGTGAGATCCCATAGTATTTGTCTGTTGTCGTCTGACTTGTCTCACTTAGCATCATGCCCTCAGAGTCCATCCACGTGGTTGCACATGGCACACTTGAGACCCCATTTTCTCAGAAACTGGAGGACGAAGCTATGGTGATATTCTGAGGGACCTGAGAAGTTGGGCTGAGGGTTTGCCTTGGATGTGGCCTCATCTTTCCAGAAAAATGAGAGGCCAGAAAGGGGGTTCTGAAGGAAATGGGGGCAGCAGCTGTGGAGAATGGCGGTTAGTCATCAAGGTGTGAGGTCTAGATTGTCGCACAGCCTCATTTGAGACCACCCAGCATGAGCTGTGCAGGTTGCAGGCAGCAGGGGCCGGGGCTTCCCCAGCAGGACCCTAGTACCCCGTGCTCTGAAGAGAGGAAGCTACCACACTGAAGGCCGGAAGAGAAGAGCAGGAAGTGTGGTGACATATCCTCAAAAGACAGCGAGGACAGAGTGGGAATGGTGTTCTGGGGTGTTCGGCGGAGGGAGGAGGCAGATGAAGATGCATACTGGGCAGCTGTCATATGGCAGAACTCTGGGTTTGGGGAGGGCTCACATGACAATCCAGGTGAGTGACACTCCCTTTCGTTGTTCAGCACACAAATTACAATGCGGCTCCTTGGAATCTGCGTGTGGTGATGGTGAGTTTAGGCCTGGGGAGTGCTGACTGCATGCCAAGCACTGAGCACACTTTCATCTCAGTTGTCTGCATGACACCCCCTGAGAGAGCCACTGTCGCCCCGTTAAAAGAAAAACCACAGGCCCAAAATGGAGTCACTTAGGTTAAGGCCCCACATCAGCAAATCCAGACCTGACACCTAACCTTACTGCAGTTTTGACCCCTCCCAGGAAGGTGACCTCTAAGTAGTCAACCTAGAATTTCCTGCGCAGCACTAGGAAATTTACGGATAGATCCATTCCATTTCCCTTGCCTAAAACAATAGACTCTGCTAATTACTTCCTTTTCCAGCTTCCTCTCTGCCTTTACAAACCTTTCATTTTCTATAGCTGGATGGAGCCTTTTTTTGTTTGTTAGGTGGGATGCTGCCCGATTCATGAATTGTTCAATAAAGCCAATGTGATCACGTCAACTGCCGTTTAACAGATTTGGTGGCCGTTGCAGATTGAAGAAGACTGCTGATAGGCATGGTGCCTGCGAACCCCTTTTTGAGTTCACTGTCTTTCTCACCATTTCTGAAGGCCATGGGTAAGTCTCTTTCAGTTGGGAGCTGGGCTCTCTTGGCGATGAGCTCTGGATCTAATTGGTTTCCAGTCCAGGGCTTAGTGGGTCAGCTTGAGCTGACAGGTGGTTCCAACTGAAACCGGAGGCCGTAGACCTTGGTTCAGTCTGCAGGTCCCCGGTTGTTTGGAACTTCTTGCCCCAGGTCCAATCTGAGATCCCCAAGTCTGCCTGTGGAGTTGCTGGTGGTACACAGGGCCTTGCTACGGACCTGTATGCAGTGTTGTCTAAACCTCAGCCCTTGCTTTTGTCCTCAGATGCCATGCTGGGAGCTGCTGGTGACCGCCATTGTCCATTTGTTTGGAATCCATCTGCATTCCCATTGTTTAAGGTCTGCAGGTCCAGTCCTCTGCCCAGTCCCTAGTTCTCTGGGTACTGCTGGTGTCCACAGTCTGTTTCTTCAGTTTCTCTTGGTTTCTGTTAATGGGCTCCTGGGGTCAAGGCTCATGCTTTGGGGGTCTTGGAGGCCAATAAGCCACAGAAATTGGTGGGCATGTGGTGAATGCTTCAGAGTTGTTAGAGCACATGCCACCTGACCCAAAGGTCCCTGTGTCAGGACAAGTTGGTCACAGAATGGGTTAGATCGGCATTAACCGCCAACCTCAAGAGACTTCCCGTGCAATGAGGTGACACAGTGTGAACCACAACAGAACCCCAACTCCACGGGGCATCTTTCTCAGGGACTAATCTGGCTTCGAGAAATCCAAAGGCTAAACTGAAAAACAAAACAAAACAACATAATAGAAAGAAGTAAATAAATAATGAAGGTGGTCTCCTTCACTTCTTTATTTTTTTAAAAGATTTTATTTATTTTTTTGAAAGAAAGAAACACAATGACAGAGAGAACACAAGCAGGGGGAGTGGGAGCGGGAGAAGCAGGCAGCCCGATGCAGGGTTCGATCCCAGGACCCTGGGATCCTGACCTAAGCCAAAGCAGACGCTTAACGACTGCACCATCCGGGTGCCCTGGATCCTTCATTTCTAGAGAATCCAGTGTACCACCTTCCAGGGAATCTGCTTATTTTTTGTCTAAGAACTACCATTCCGGAAGCTATAAATATCTACAAAAATGGCAATCTTTCAAAGCATGATTTGTGTCCTGAAGAACTTGGCTTTGTAACTGCTGGGTAGGGGGCCCCCAAAATAAGGCTGGATGGAAATGCGAGTTGCACCTCATTTACCGCTTGAACGTGGCTGGACAGAAACGTGGGCTAACCTCCATTTGCGGCTAGGGCCTTAGCAAACTGCTAGCAGCCCTCAGGGGAATTATGGCCGAGAATTACAGTGGCCATTATGAAGAACATTCCAAACAGATAAGATCCTGTGAGCAATGCACATAAAAACAAAGGCTTCAAAATTGCAAAAATAGATTAATTGAAAGTTGCGTTGCAAAAAAGCTGATAAAAAATTAAAAAGACTCAGAAGACTGTCATAATTCTTTTTTTTTTTTTAAGGATTTTATTTATTTATTTGACAGAGATCACAAGTAGGCAGAGAGGCAGTCAGAGAGAGAGGAGGAAGCAGGCTCTCTAGCAGAGAGCCAGATGCAGGACTTGATCCCAGGACTCTGAGATCATGACCCGAGCTGAAGGCAGAAGCTTTAACCCACTGAGCTACCCAGGCGCCCCAGACTGTCATAATTCTTATTTCTTCTGTCCTTTACTCGAATACTCATTCTAGTTATCCTCTGTCTGAACTGTCTTTACATGACTGTAGACAGAAGTCCACCAAGTTAATGACCTTACAGAGAGCCCCATATCTACCTTCAAGGAGCTCCCAACCCCCTACCCTGCCCCGTGAGTCCCTTCCAGAACTGATGGGACTCAGGGATTTCCTGGCAAACTGCTACATTATTCTCTTAGGCAGCAAAGGGAAATCCAAAAAGCAAAACAAGACCAAACCTTGCCAAATTCTAGTAAATATTAGAGTTATACTCCTTCCTCTTCAAACTCCACTCATGCAACTCATGAATCCCTAAACTCTTCCTCTGAAACTAATAATACACTATATGTGAATTAATTGAATTAAAAAAAAAAAAACAAAATAAAACTTGGGGTGCCTGGGTGGCTCAGTGGGTTGGGCCTCTGCCTTCAGCTCAGGTCATGAACTCAGTGTCCTGGGATGGAGCCCTGCATCGGGCTCTCTGCTCAGCAGGGAGCCTGCTTCCCCCTCTCTCTCTGCCTGCCTCTCTGCCTACTTGTGATCTCTGTCAAGTAAATAAATAAAAAAATTTAAAAAACAAACAAACAAAATAAAACCAAAAAACCTGCTTAGAACCTTCAGGTGGGATCCTGGAAGAACTGATGAAAGCTGGCTAAAGACTTTTCTCTCAGCTAAATGTACCCAGAAACAAACAAACCTTCCAGTGTAGGTGAATGGCTGTATCAGTCCTCCGCACCCAGCTACAACCCAATTCTTTAGAAGAGGGAGTAAAGGCGACTGTCCCTAATCTTACAAATCTTTACAAAACTGAACATGGAGTTCTAAGGACAATTCAAAGTTCATCTATTTCTTTTATTTTTTTTTAATATTTTACTTTATTATTTATTTGACAGAGAGAGATCACAAGTAGGCAGAGAGGCAGGCAGAGAGAGGAAGGGAAGCAGGCTCCCTGAGTGAGCAGAGAGCCCGATGTAGGGCTTGATCCCAGGACCCTGAGATTATGATCTGAGCTGAAGGCAGAGGCTTTAACCCACTGAGCCACCCAGATGCCCCAAAGTTCATCTGTTTCTTTACTGATCCCCAAACCTCCCCTATTTATCTTAAGAGTCTTGTAAATTATTGACTTAGAAAAAAACCAAAGTCCTTCTTGGAGGGATTTGAACTCTCTCCCTGGGACTTGGGGATAAAAATATTAAGCATAGAAACCTCAGGGAGGTCATTCTTTTTCTTGGCCCCCCCCCTTAAAATTTATAACTGGAAGTATGTAGTCTTAATTCCCCTTATCAGAAGTTCTTATCAGAAGTAGAACAAAAGGGAGAAAGGCCATTTGAAATTTTGATGAATGAAAAGTCGTGTGTTTTCTCCACAAATGTTAGTAGAAGCATCTTTAGCCATCCGAGCAGATGACCTTAACTTAGTCCATCTGCCAGGAAAACAGTTTGGATCCAACTGTTCTTTCATAAAGGAGGGTTTTGCATTTTCATACCCGTATCATGGCTAAAAAATTTAAAACAACAACTATAACGTCTCTGTTTATACGTTTATGGTAGATGGGTGACATTTTCTGCCTCTGGATGGTATTGCTAGAATTGATTTGTAAAGACTTCTATTTAACTGGCTTAAAAATAAACACTTACAAATTAAGTATTTCTAAATCTCAGAAATATAATAGAAATTAATCCAAATGTTTTTCAGGTTCATGCAATCTGGGAAGATATTTGGTATTAAAGCTAAGTTGGCTTAATTAAAATAGACATATCTTTAAAGTTATTAGCATTAAATATAATACTTTTATCCTACCCAGGTTTACTAATCAAGTAAGATCATGCTATCTCTGTTCCAAAATTTGTCAACAAGAAGAATAGCTTGGGACAATGGTTGATTTTATCTAATGTTTCCTGAAGTTTCTGCAGATAATCTAAACATAATTGTTAAGAAAAAATAAATTGGATAGATGTAAATAAGATAAAAATTTTTTAGATAAACTTTTAAAATAGTTTCCTCATGGGGCGCCAGGCTGGCTGGGTCGGAAGAGCATGTGACCCTTGATCTCAGGGTTGTGAGTTCGAGCCTCACACTGGGAGTAGAGATTACTGAATTTTAAAAAAAGTTTCCTCAAATCTTTTAAACATCTTCTTTGTTTTGTTTTTAAGTAGGCTCACACCCAACAAGGGGCTGGAACTCACGACCCTGAGAACAAGAGCCACATGCTCCACTGACTGAGCCAGCCAGCCACCCCTTCCTCAGGTCTTCTTGGTAACCTGATATCTTCAAGTTTTGCTCAGTGAAGCGATGAGTTATGTTAAATTCACAGAATATCTAGATCATTTCCAAACAAGACAAAACACTGAAACGTTAATTATTGAATGCAGGCTTATCTTCATTTGCTCCCTTTACAGAGGAACTAAAGATAATTGCATCTAGATTTGAGGAATTTGAGAAACAAGACAGAGGATCTTAGGAGAATCGAGGGAAAAATCAAACAAGATGAAATCAGAGAGGGAAGAAAACCATAAGAAACTCTTAATCTCAGGAAACAAATTGAGGGTTGATGGAGGGGAGGGGGTAAGAGGGATGGGGCGGCTGGGGGATGGACATTGGGGAGGGTATGTGCTATGGTGAGCGCTGCGAATTGGGTAAGACTGATGCATCACAGACCTGTACCCCTGAAACAAATAATACATTATATGTTAATTTTTAAAAAAGATAACTGCATCTATTAGTAAACATTTTTTATGCCATGTTGAGAAATTTTCTATTTAAAAAAACCATGTTTCTAGGGGTGCCTAGGTGGACCAGTTGGTCAGGCATCTGACTCTTGGTTTTGGCTCAAGTCATGATCTTGGGGCTGTGGGATCAAGCCCCACCATGGGCTCCACGCTCAGCCCAGAGTCTGCTTGGGACTTTCTCTGCCCTTCCCCCTGCTCTATCTCTCTCTAAAATAAATGAATACATCTTAAAAAAAAATTTTTTAAAAGCATGTTTCTAGAAGTCATAATAAGTATTTATAAGTCTGAAAATTCACAGCATTTTTTCTAAGATTTTATTTATTTATTTGACTGACGGAGATCACAAGTAGGCAGAGAAGCAGGCTAAGAGAGAGGAGGAAGCAGCCTCCCTGCTGAGCAGAGAGCCCGATGTGGGGCTCGATCCCAGGACTCTGGGATCATGGCCTGAGCCGAAGGCAGAGGCTTTAACTCACTGAGCCACCAAGGCGCCCCTCACAGCATTTTAAAAAAGATTTTATTTATTTATTTGTCAGAGAGAGTGCACAAGCAGGAGGAGCAGCAGGCAGAAGGAGAAGCAGACTTCCTGCTGGGCAAGGAGCCCAAAGTGGGGCTCGATCCCCTGGACCATGACCTGAGCCAAAGGCAGATGCTTAACCGACAGAGCCACCAAAGCTCCAGACATTTCAGAGTATATGTTAATATAAACAACAGTTCACAATCATTTACTTCTTAGTTAAGCTTCCTAAGGGTTAAGAATTCTACCAATGCATGTGATTATAACTACAAGAAATAATAAGGAGCATCTCTGTATACAAGAAAGGCAGAAAACAGGATGTGTGCTTTCAGTAAAAGAAGTTAGGAATGGAAATGCATTTTTGTAGATGGAAATTTTAGTAATTTTGTCCCAAAATGAGGGTATTTAAAGAGGGAAAATATAGGACAAAATCTGAATGTAAAACAGAAAGAAAAAGAAAGTTGTAGATCTGTGGAAAAGGAATTTTTGAAAAGGAATTTTAATGTGTGATCAAGCTGGTGAAGATGAAAATGAACTTATTTAAAGATAAGTTGAGGACTGGGTGGCTCAGTCAGTTGAGCGTCTGAATCTTGATTTCGGCTCAGGTCATGATCTCAGGGTTGTGAGATCAAAACCCACCTCTAGCTCCACGTTGAGCATGGAGCCTGCTTAAGATTCTCTCTCCCTCTCCCTCTATCCCCCACCCCAGCCCCGCACACGCTCTCTCTCTTTCTCTTAAAAAAAAAAAATAAAAAAATAGGGGCACCTGGGTGGCTCAGTGGGTTAAAGCCTCTGGTTTCGAATCAGGTCATGATCCCAGGGTCATGGGACTGAGCCCCACATTGGGCTCCCTGCTCAGCAGGGAGCCTGCTTCCCTTCCTCTCTCTTTTCCTGCCTCTCTGCCTACTTGTGATCTCTGTCAAATAAATAAATAAATTATAAAATAAATCTTAATTATAAATAAATTATAAATAAATCTTTAAAAAATTATACGAATTTCTATTTGGATACTCTGTGCACATGCAAAAAAAATTAAAATGAGTTTTAATATCAAAAGTACAGTGCTGCAAAATTAGCAGTTAGCTTTTCTCTCAGTTGAAAGTTTTCTCAGGGCACGGGGCAGGTTCAGTGGAAAGAGCATGTGATCCTTGATCTCAGGGTTGTGAGTTCAAGATCATAGGGTCATGGGCTTGAGCCTCACATTGGGTTTAGAGATTACTAAAACAAACAAACAAACAAACAAACAAAAAAAAAAAACAAAAAAAATTAAAAGAAAAGGATAGTTTTCAGGGTGCGTGGCCCCTGGCTGGCTCAGTCATTAAGCATCTGCCTTCAGCTCAGGTCATGATCCCTGGGTCCTGGGATGCAGACCCCACATCAGGCTCTCTGCTCAGCGGGAAGCCTGCTTCTCCCTCTCCCACTCCCTCTGCTTGTGTTCCCTCTCTTGCTGTGTCTCTCTCTGTCAAAGACATAAACAAAATCTTAAAAAAAAAAGGATAAGGGTGCCTGGGTGGCTCAGTGGGTTAAAGCCTCTGCCTTTGGCTCAGGTCATGATCTCAGGGTCCTAGGATGGAGCCCACATCAGGCTCTCTGCTCAGCAGGGAGCCTGCTTCCCTTCCTCTCTCTCCGCCTGCCTCTCTGCCTACTTGTGATCTCTGTCTGTCAAATAAATAAATAAAATCTTTAAAAAAAAAAAAAGGATAGTTTTCTAGATTATTGATCTGGTCACTCTTTATTTTTAGATTACTGATCTGCTCTTGATAAGACATTGTAAATAAAGTTTTTTTCTTTACCTTTAATGTAATCTGCCTAGAAACACAAAGGTTCTGTTTGCCTTTATTGGATCTTTGATTATAAAAAAAGAAAAAACCTGAATCTTTTTAATGTTAAAAGAGCCAAAGTTTTTTTTTTTATAACTCTTTAACTTTCTGTATTTGCCTGCAGTCTTGTCACTTTGATAACCAGATAACCAAGTATTGTGAAAGTGACCTATGATTCTGTTTGATCAAGTGCTTTAAAACCTTTTGATATTTTTCGATGAACCTCCCCCAAATCAAATCCTAAATAGTTCTTTTGGCCTTGACCTAGCTTTGGGTTATTTCAGAAGTTTTCCAGAACACTTCAAAGAATTTGTTCCCTCTCCTTTTTAAAAAGGGAGATAGCAAACTAATTAGGTTTATTTGATATATTAAATTACATGGGGAGCATTGTCAAATAAGTAATACTAAGCCTTCTTTATATTATGTCTGTATACATGTTCCAGAAATTATGTAATATTCCTGGAAATCTGATGTGACCTAGTATAATGTCAGGGCTTGTAATTCTAATTACTATCTTAAAATGTATGTCCCCAAAATAACCACATGTCTTTGTCAATTGCATTACAATGAACTCTCATCAGATCTTTACCCAGGTCATTTTAAAGTCTTTTATCATTTATCAGTAGTTATTGCTGTACTCAGAGACTTCTACAAAATTTCCTGCAACTGTGCTTTATCTTCAGAGGAATTCGTGGAAGGGAATCTGACAAGCACTCTCAAATACAGATTTCTGAAAATGTTCCGATCATACAACTGAACTGGTAAGAACAAAGACTGCCCTTGAACGTCTTTGGAAGGGACTAAGGGCAGGTCTTCCTCACCAACCAGATGACAGCCAAACTTCAAGGGCTTAAACCTTGGATGTGCATCTTGGAGCTGGTGAAGGCTCCACCTGACATGGGTCCTACACAGCCCAGGAGACCGCCCATCCACGTGAGGAGGAAGAGAAGTAGCCACATCAAGGTAGACTGCTTCCTCCAAGTGGCCTGATCGAGACCTCACGCTTTAACTGAATAGGAAACCTTTCTTTTTTTTCACTCCGGCACTGGCCTGGAAAGATGACATCATTAGTGTCTCAGGCCATTGCCGAGGGAGATAACCTTGGCCTTTCAGACTGCTGGATTTGACATCCAAAACTCCTTATCTGTCCATTCACCCCACCACTTTAGTGAAAGTGGTTTGGGCCCTGTTGGGTTTGTCCTTTGTCTTTGGTAGTTATCACTGTCTGTGGGCCTATGAATGTTTATATGCCTCTCAGGGTTTCTCACCTCCCTGGGCCCCCAACTTTTTACAAGTAGAATTAGACATCTCATTGGTTGACTCTCTGGATTTACATCTTCTAGTTAGAAAAGACCTACTAGGAGACATTCACAACTCAGGATTTGCTCCCTTTGACAGAGCCACACTTTCCTGGTTAGGAGGAAACATAAATAAGAATATGATCGGGGTGTCTGGGGGGGCTCCGTTGGTTAGGCGTCTGTCTTCGCCTCGGGTCATGATCTCAGGGTCTTGGGATTGAGCTCCCCATCGGGCTCCCGGCTCAGTGGAGAGCCTGTTTCTCCAGCTCCCTCTGCTGCTCCCCCTGCTTGTGCTCTCTCTTCCTTTCAAATAAATAAATAAAATCTGAAAAAAAAAAAAGAATATGATTGAAACCTCTCCTTAACTCTTAAAGGAGTTAACTCTTAACTCCTTAACTCTTACTCACTAAGACAATAGCGGCCCGACAAATCCTTCCAGCTCTCCAGACGAAACTGTTCTTTACAGTAGGATAGCCTCTGAGCAAAGAGGTGTTTGAGCTGTGGTCAACCCTACTTGCTGCACCGGGATTGACTCTTCTGGGGAAGTTGAAACTCAAGGGCACAAGATCGCGGGGTGTCCCTTTGACTTATTTGATTCTCATTGGTTTGGGTCTGAAGTGTACTCCAGACGTTAGGGATTATCCTGTTTATAATAATCACAATAACCTCCCCGGTGCATTGTGCTCTCTCTAAAGCTTTAAATGCGTGTTCCCAGCTGCTGACCACCCAGCATGTGATCTCCTGAAGACTGGACTGTCAGAAAAACAATGAAGAGGACAATGAGCTTAAAAATTATGAACTTTGGGACACCTGTTGACTCAGTCGGTGGAGTATGCAACTTTTTTTTTTTTTTAAGCATGAGATTCTTGGGGCGCCTAGGTGGCTCAGTGGGTTAAAGCCTCTGCCTTCGGCTCAGGTCATGATCCCATGGTCTTGGGATCGAGCCCCGCATCGAGCTCTCTGCTCTGTGGGGAGACTTCTTCGTCCTCTTTCTTTGCCTGCCTCTCTGCCTACTTGTGATCTCTGTCTGTCAAGTAAATAAATAAAATCTTAAAAAAAAAAAAAAAAGCATGAGATTCTTGATGTCTGTGTTCTGAGTTCAAGCCCCATGCTGGGTGTAGAGATTACTTAAAAACAATTGTGAACCTGAAGTTGTAAACTATGACTAACCATAGTCGTAGAATGCCTTACATTTTGATCACCTGTCTCAGTTAAGCTTAGAATTTAATCGAAAGGAGATATTGCTAAAAAGAAAATCACAGGCCCCACATGGAGTCACTTATGTTAAGTCCCCACATCAGCAAACCAAGACTTAATACCTAACCTCTTTGTCATTTCAATCCCCCCAGGAGTGAGGTCTAACCAGTCAACCTGGAAGTCCCTGAGCAGCACTAGGAAATTCACAGATAGGCACCTCCTGTGCCCCTTAGAAGGGAGACCTTACCTAAAACAATACCCTCTTCGCTGATAATCCCCTCCCCTTCGCCTCCTCTCTGCCTTAACAAACCTTTCTTTTCTATAGCTGCACAGAGCTTTTTTCTGTTTGCTAGGTGGGATGCTGTTGGATTCATGAACTGTTCATAAAGCCAATTTGATTTTTTAAATTACTCAGTGAAATTTTTATTAACGTCGCCAGTCCACAGTTGAGGAAAAGGAAACTGTCAGAGAAATAAAATAAGTTGCCGAAAATCACCCAGACCAAAGTTGGCAGCATCTCGCCCTAGGGCAAGGAACAAGAGGTTGGGTCAGCATCTTGCCAGGCTTCCCAGAACCCGCTGGGACTCCCCAGAACCTCTCCAAACCTCAAAGGACCTGCTAGTTTCCAGGCCACCCCAAATGATCCCTGCCCTGCCCCCTTTCTTGGTTCCTTAGAGAGCAACTCTGCGGAGAAAAGGTGGCAAAAGGTGGGGCGCAGGAAACCAACTTTAAGAGGCTCCTTAAGAGAGCGTGACCTTTCAGACAAGATTTGTAGGGAGCAGAGGAAGGAAGAGGGGTGTGGCCTGTGGAGATGATTTCTGGGAAGTGGTGGGAGCAGCAGGGGAGGGAGAGGGTGGCTGACTCAGTTTCATCTTTGAGGACACAAAGGAGGCAGGGGGCAGGGCTGGTGCAGAGAAATCAATCACTGGATGGCCTGGGCCAAGGGTTAGGGGTGGTTGTTGGAATCCCGGCCCCCAGCTAAGCATAAGAGGGGTGGGTGGATGTCCGTGCAAATGGAAAGAAGCCTCAGTGCAGGGCTGCAAGAGGAATTTGAAGCCAGCCCGCACCCTCCCTCTGCCCAGGACAAAAGTGCACACAGACACAGGAAGGATCTAGATGCATTTAAGGTCAACAGGTCCCCAAGCTAAGGGGATCTGGAGGCAGTCTCTGTCCAAGAGGCTAAAAAGCTTGCAAACACAGGACCGGGTGCCCAGGCCAGAGATACCAGAGGGAAAACCATGGAAAGATCTGGAAGGATAGGTGGATGATGTGTAGTTGAGGGGGTGCTGTAGGTGGTCTGGGCTTCTCACTGCAGGGAGTGGCTGGAGGCTGGGTGAGGGGGGATCTGGGGTAGAGACTCCAAGGTCCTTGATCCTTCCTGCGAGGGCAGTAGTTTGGCAGGCAGCAAGTCTCTAAGCATAAAAATTATTTAAACAGAACACCTTTCAGGCAGGAACGAACTCACGTGTTGCCACAGTTCTCGACCCTATGGGCCTCACACCCAGGAGGGTTGGTTCATTTCTACCATCAGCTGGCTGGTGTAGGTGTTGGATTTTTGACCTTTGAGATGCTCACACTAACCTTTGCAGGCCCCAAAAGAAGAGAAGAGGTTAGGCCCTGTGGGTCCCTAACTTTGCCCAGTGCTGTCTCCCCTGATGTTGCCCCTTGGTATGCTGCTCCGTACAGTCAGCTGGGAGGGCCTGCTGTGCTTTTAGCAACCCTGGGACCGCACATAAAGCCGTCAACAGCGCCCTCTAGTTTCGTGACAGTCCTGCCTTCTTCCCTGGAAGTAGGGTGACACCCTGAGAGCTCCTGGGGCCCCTCTTTGGGGCTGGGGAAGTGATTTCCACCCCTGCCCGGAATTCTCTTGGCATAGGTACATGGAGACACAGAAGCCAGTGGCATGGACTGTTTATTATAATAACGCTCCCCACGTGAGGCAGAGAAGAGGGGGGCTGTGCCAGGAGGGATAGTCAGCAGGTAGGTGTGAGCAGGAAAGTGTGGAGAGCCTCCACAGCCACTAGGGAAGTGACAATCTTGGTAAAATATACTCAGAGAGAGAGATAGAGAGGGAGGGAGATGGGGGAATCCAGCCACCAGAAGCAGGCTGGGGAGGAAGGGAAACACGATGGGCTGGGAAGGTGGATGCTGGAGGGCTTGGCGCTGGAGAAAACCTCGGCTTCCGGGGCCACTAGCTGGAGCCCATTCCATCAGCAGAGACCGCAGAGCCCAGAGCAACAAGAAGGCCCCTGCTCTGGGGCCAGAAGCCCCACAGTGGTGGGGTGCTGGGGGTGGTGGGAGCCAGGCTCCTCGGGGATCCTCTATCCCCACATGGTGGTCTGCAGCCACTATGGGGAGAAAAGCAGATCCAAAGATGGGAGGGGGCATGGGCAGGATGGCTGGGGGAGCCATGAGTTGGGGGTGGGTGCCAGAAGATCCCTTCCATGTACCTGGTTCAGATTCAAGCGAATATAGCCAGTATTCTCGGGGTCCATGGATAGAAAGTATGCTGTTTCACAGAGGAGGCAACGGGAGGGGTTTGGGAGCTGAGTCTGTGGTTGGTAAGACCCATTTCCCAAGAGGCAGGATAAAAGGGAGGAAGAAGCTGTTCCTTGCTGCTTCCCAGGTAACCCTTTGCCCAGAAAGGGATTAAGGAGAACATCTCATGGCCTTGCCATGAGCCATATGCAAACCCCTATATTCAGGACCTCCACCCTAGGAGGGCAATACTGTTGTTGCCCACATTTTATAGATGAGAACAGAGGACAGAGGCACAGAGACATAAATGACTTGCTCAAGGCACAGAGACACCAACTGGCAGAGCTGGGATTTGAACCCATATCATCCATGCTCTTAAGATGGCGTGGTCTGGGAGCCCTGCTACTCGTGTGGGTGTGTAGGAGGCGGCCCCTGGTCCTTAGCCCAGGGTGGGGAGTGGGCAGAGGACTGACTCACTGAACATGGCCTTCAGCCTCAGGAAACAGCTGATGAAGCTGTCAAAATCCACGATCATGTCGTCGTTTGCGTACCTGGCCACCAGCACCTGCGTCACCTTGTTATTCAGTTTGATGCCTGGAAGGGAGGGGAGTGAGGAGGGGGAGTCCAGCCCTCTAGCTGCTGCTTCTTCCCTCCTTGCCCCCAAACCCTCTCCTGACCCCCTGCTAACCTGCCTTCTCGAGTGCCAAGCGCATCTCATAGGAGTTCAAGGTGCCCGAGTTGTCCTCGTCACACTCTCGGAAGATGTCCTGAAGGGACGGACAGGTGAGGTCGGGCCGTGTGCATGGAGGGGCGGTGGAAATAATGAATTGCTTTAGAATAGGTAACCTACAAGGGCTGCCCAAGACCCAGGGCTGCCTGCCTGGGCCCACTCCCTGAGTGCCCAATCTCGTGACTGTAGGGGACGTCTGACAAGGAGAGAGGGTTGGAACCTGAGTCAGTGTTCTGAAAGACCCACTCCCAACTGGGCCCTCTGCATGTACCCTTTAAGCTAGCTGATGCCTGGGTTATACTGGTTGTTAAATATTCTGACTGGCCAGTACACCAACACTTCAACAGACCTTGCCCTATTGCCCCACATGAGCTCCTTGCTCGGTGGGGAGCCTCCTTCTCCCTCTCCCTCTGCCTTTCTGCCTGCCACTCCCCCTGCTTGTGCTCTCTCCCTCACTGTTCAAATAAATAAATAAAATCTTAAAAAGAAAAAAGAAAAATGATGGGGCGCCTGGGTGGCTCAGTGGGTTGGGGCCTCTGCCTTCAGCTCAGGTCATGATCCCAGAGTCCTGGGATCGAGCCCCACATCGGGCTCTCTGCTCAGCAGGGAGCCTGCTTCCTCCTCCTCTCTCTCTCTCTCTGCCTGCCTCTCTGCCTACTTGTGATCTCTGTCAAATAAATAAATAAAAAATCTTAAAAAAAAAAATTTATTAAAAAAAAAAAAAAAAGAAAAAAGAAAAATGATCCTGTCCTGTCCTGTGTATGCGTGTGTCTAGTTGGGGGCTCCTGTTCTAGCATCATCCTTACTGATCCCATCGCTCTTGAGGACCTCCCTTTCTGCCCACCATAAACTGCCCTTGCAAATTTTTTTTTTAACCGTCCATTTCTTTTCTTTTCTTTTTAAAAAAAGATTTATTTATTTATTTATTTGACAGACAGAGATCACAAGTAGGCAGAGAGGCAGGCAGAGAGAGAAAGGAGGAAACAGGCTCTCCGCGGAGCAGAGACCCCAATGCGGGGCTCAGTCCCAGGACCCTGGGGTCATGACCCAAGCCGAAGGCAGAGGCTTTAACCCACTGAGCCACCCAGGCGCCCCTTACCGTCCATTTCTTGATTTTTTTCCACAGGATCTGGAACTCGGGAAGCCCCAGCTTGCCAGAGCCATCTTTCTGGGGGGTGGTCAAGGATGCCAGCGGAGGGAGAAAAGAGGAAAACTTGGGGCCGGGGAGGCAGAGGGGCTCTCTGAGTGGGGGGCAGCGAGACCAGGGGTTCCTGTGCGAGCACAAGCCAGAATGGGCTTCTTTTGCTACCTCAGAGCCGAATCCCCAGCAGGAAGGAGGACATGGATGGCTAGAGAGGGGCTACCTCTTGGGGGCCAAGCTTGGGGGTGGGGGTCAGGGGTGGGAGACCGTTGGATGAGAAGATACATCCATGAGGTTGACCATACAGCGGCAAACGTCTAGGCCGAAGCCCTCGGTCCTGAAGTTTCTGACTGTGAAGGAGGGAAGGGGCGGGAAGACAGAAGGGGTGAGCGGGGCATTGAGGGGGATGCAGGGAGTGGTCGAGGTGAGGAGGAAGCTGCAGGGAAAAGTTGTGAGTGGGGGCTGGTGGTTGGAAGACTCACGTTTGGTGACCACCTTGTTGAGTAGCTTCTGTAGCTCATACATGCCTATCTCCTTGTCCTAGGAAGGGGGACAGTAAACCTCTACTCTGACACCTTTACCCTGGCCACCTCCTTCGGGCACCCAGCCCTCAGCCTCTCACCTCCCCTCCTGCCACTATCTCAAACAAACGTATGAAGTCCGGATCTATGTCCTTCTCAGAGAATTTCTCCTGCAGGGAAAGGAGTGGGAAAGGAACCCATTCCAGAAAGTTCCTTCACACTCCCCAGGTGCTTCCTCTCCTCCCTCCACCCCACAGTATCCCCTCACCTCCTGGAGTAGCTCAGCATAATTGGTTTCATCCAGTTCCCTGAGCAAAAGTGAAGGAAGCCTTGGAAGTTATCCGGGATCAGGGAGACAGGGATTTTAGTGGGGTGGTCATGAGGAGGTCATGTCATGTATCTGAAGCAATGTGGAACAGGCTGCATGGGATCCGGGTCCTGATTCTGGTTTGCTCCCAACTGGGACTCTCCCCTCGTTGTGCCTCAGTTTCCCTGACTTAAAATAGGGGTGGAGTTGGGGAGGACCCGATGACTGCTCCCTAAGGGTGACATCCTGGAGCTCTCAGGCAGGTGGTCTTGGAGCACCAAGGTAGGGCTCCTCACCAGGACTCGCTGTGCTTCTCTGTGAAGACCCGAAGCAGGAAGTCAGCATCCTGGTGGGGCTCAAAGGTGGAGGGAATGATGACATATTCCCCTGGAGGCAGCCGGAGATGGCTGGTCACCTCCCGTGAGTTAGTGAAGATCTCTGAGAAGCCGTGGTCCTGATACTTGATGAAGAAGTCCTTCTTCAAGCGAAAATCCTGGATGTTCTGAAACTATATGAGCCTTGGAGGTGGGTACAGGGCTGG